CATGCACCCCCCCAGCCCCCCCCCCAAAAAAAAAAAAAATCATCAATGAATAAATAAAATAAAATAAAATACACAGAACAATAACTGTTGTATTTTCCTTTCCAGAAAGTATATTCACTGTATTTTGTAAAACCTAAACAGTATACAAATGCATCAAAGTATACTAACATAAACTTTTAAAGGCGTGTTTAATAAGAAAAAAAAACCCACTGCACTGTACATAATCCACCTTTGCACAGCTACAGTACATTTGCTCGGATTGACTGCAGGCTTGTGGATGGCTGTGTGATTACAATAACTTCTCAACCCCATTTTAATTTTCAATATTTGTCTGTATGTGCACTTTTAGAGATGCCCAGCAACTGTAGAATAACTCCTCAGTGGAAGGGGAGAAATGAAACGTGACTGCTAGAAATTATGTTTTTTTAGGTTGACTGCATATTATCATCACAATGTCAGTTAGAATTTATCATGTCGTGGTTTAGCAGGTTTTTTTTGTGTTTTCTTTTCTCTTTAGAAGAATTACAGAGCAACTGGTTGGAGGTTAGCAAACTGACATACAAGGTAGTACAACTGGCCGACCTTTGCTATCCACATAAATATAATTTCAATAGCACTTGGGAAATGAAATGAGTTTTAAGAGATCAAATTTTTGTGACTTTTCTTTAAGGTTTTAGAATATTTTCTTCCTACTGTTCATGTTAACTATACCTACCAGTTGGTGAAATTAGGTACCATACACTAAACTTTTTATTTCCTAATAATTTTTACTGCCATGTTGAAATGATATGCATACATTTATGACTCAACGATGATATCTAGCTGAAACATGTTAAACACTTATAATTTGTTTATTTTAATAATCAACATGCCTTTCCTGAATTTTTTACAGAAATGCATTCTTTATGGCTAAAGAATTAAAATTAGCTTGGTTGCTACTTTCAAGACGACATTTTCAATATGGCTGCAAATTTGTGAGGGAAAAAAACAGCCAGAAGCAACATATATACTGTATTTTTTATTCTAGTGATGTATTCCTTGTTGAAAGAACACATTAGGATAACTGACTATACCCTATCAGGATCCAGTTATTAAAAAATCAAAATGGCTGCCAAAACATACAGCATAGGATAAAGAAGAGCTGCAAAATCAGTATATTTCTGGTATTGTCTAATTAAAATCATATATGAATTAATTTTTCTGTCCGTTGTGGTATTTTGATCCTAAACTATCTCTATCAGCTTGTTTGACATTCAACTTATGTTTGGTGAAGTTGTAAGCCCCCTGAGTAGTCCAGTTGCCATTCCCAAGGGTCCCAGAGTTGAACTATGAAATGCTATTTTCTATGAGTAAAAGAATCATAATTTAAGGTTTAAAAAGTCAACTTAGCCTGGGTTTTCTTTTCAGATGCTACTTTCAGGACATTGAGCACTTTTCAAAATCACAGATGGCCACCAGGTCTTTTTTAGTTGAACAAACATAATTTACCAGCTTTTTGCCTGCCTTTTCCTTACCATTTTGGTGGCCATTTGTTTTGTTTTTTTTTAAATACAATTTGTTGAGATGTAACAAACAACTGCAATATGCACCTCTTTACTCAAAAATGCGCACGTAACAAACTGTTGGCCATCTTAGATTATGCAAAATGCTCAGTGTCCTGGAAGGAGCAACTATTTTCTTTTTTCCCATGGTGGCCATATTGAAAAATGCTCACTGCTTCAGAAGTAGCAACTAAGCTAATTTTACTTCTCTAGCTCCAAAGAAGGCATTTCTGTAAAAAAAGTTTACAGGACAAATCATTGCAGGGTGCAAAAATTAGGCCTATGAGATTGGCAACTAACTATAAGATTAGAAGATGCAAAAGATATTTAATTTTGATCATTAAGCAGAGAAAGGGGTTAGCATGCTTCCAAGGTCAAGATTACAAGTGCAAAATTTACATATCTAAACATAAATACTACTGTTTTGCGAATGTTTTTTCTGAAGGATCAACCTGACAGCTAAGCTCCTTTGAAGTTGAACTATTGGTCTCATCCTGTCACTTTTCAGCAGCATTTTACTCACCTCTGTTCAACTTGCCCTTGACCCTCTCTTCTTAATCATTCCAATCTTTCTTATCTCTTGACCCTTACCGTGGTCCCCATCACTCCAAGTCTTTGTCAACAACAAGAGTTGGGAATAACATGTTGTTGAACAATAAGTTACTTCAAAGTGAATGAAATGTTAGAAAAATTTTGAAATGCTCAAGCCTGGTTCAAAAGTTACCATTCTCAGGCCTCCTAGAAATCATCAGTGGACCCACTGCTCAGACGGTGAGTTCAGCAATGGGTTATGTGAAAAAAAAAAAAAAAAACCATTCAAATCCAGTACCAAGATAAATGTACATCTGGTGACATATTTCTGCACAGTTGTGTATACAACTAGCGTCACGTGACCCAAGTGATCGGCCAAAGAACAGAACTCACCTGAATGTTCCATGCTTTAACTTCATCCTCCCCAGCGGTGAAATAATACATCAACTGCAGTGCACTGTATCCAGTTAGAATTATCTTAGACAACATACTGCAAGCACACCATAATTTGGGAGTGAAAATAGTGAAAATGATTTCATAACAAAAGTTAAAAAGCTGAATGTTATAAATTGAAACACAAATTGCAATCAGCAGCTATTAGGAATCCAGGCAGAAATATCAGTTCCATTAATAATTATGTGACATTTTACACCTCAATGTAATTTTCAAATGTTTAAAAAAAAGTTAATGGACTACTTTGAGCAATTTTTTTTAAATATTGCCAAAGGTTTAATAGATACTGTTTTAAAATTTGTTGAAACATGGAAGAATTAAAAATGAAACTGACTTTTCAATGGAAACATCAGCTATGGACAAAAAAGGAAAAAGAAATACAGAAAAGCATTGAAAGTAAATAATTAAAAGCAGGCACTGCAAAGGCAAGACAGAACAGTAGTGCTATGACTGCTGTTCTAAGATTTGCATGTTCTNAAGAGTTGGGAATAACATGTTGTTGAACAATAAGTTACTTCAAAGTGAATGAAATGTTAGAAAAAATTTGAAATGCTCAAGCCTGGTTCAAAAGTTACCATTCTCAGGCCTCCTAGAAATCATCAGTGGACCCACTGCTCAGATGGTGAGTTCAGCAATTCAAATCCAGTACCAAGATAAATGTACATCTGGTGACATATTTCTGCACAGTTGTGTATACAACTAGCGTAACGTGACCCAAGTGATCGGCCAAAGAACAGAACTCACCTGAATGTTCCATGCTTTAACTTCATCCTCCCCAGCGGTGAAATAATACATCAACTGCAGTGCACTGTATCCAGTTAGAATTATCTTAGACAACATACTGCAAGCACACCATAATTTGGGAGTGAAAATAGTGAAAATGATTTCATAACAAAAGTTAAAAAGCTGAATGTTATAAATTGAAACACAAATTGCAATCAGCAGCTATTAGGAATCCAGGCAGAAATATCAGTTCCATTAATAATTATGTGACATTTTACACCTCAATGTAATTTTCAAATGTTTAAAAAAAAGTTAATGGACTACTTTGAGCAATTTTTTTTAAATATTGCCAAAGGTTTAATAGATACTGTTTTAAAATTTGTTGAAACATGGAAGAATTAAAAATGAAACTGACTTTTCAATGGAAACATCAGCTATGGACAAAAAAGGAAAAAGAAATACAGAAAAGCATTGAAAGTAAATAATTAAAAGCAGGCACTGCAAAGGCAAGACAGAACAGTAGTGCTATGACTGCTGTTCTAAGATTTGCATGTTCTTTATTAAACGTACTTTCCAATTGCAAAAAAAGCCAATAACATTTTCAGTACTGCCTTAAACAATGGTTTTTGTTTTATTATTCGAAATTAGAACATGTCAGCGATTGAGCCCAGCACTACCATTGTCAGCGTTAATCAAAGGGGCCAGTTGTAAAAAAAAACAGGACCCTCCTTGACCGCTGGTCTGACCTGTACTGTCCAGGCTTTCACTTCATCTTCACCAACTGTGAAAAAATAGTGCAGTTGTAGAGCCTTGTATCCAGTCACTATAATCTTGGACAGAGCACTGAAATGTTGCATAGCAAATGTAAACTGCGGTTCCTGGTTTCATTTGGATTCAAAATTGCTATAGAAAAACAAAAGTCAAGATTAGTATTGGTTCAATCAGTGATGGAAATAATCAAAATCTCAACAATAATCTTGACTGAGATAACCCATCCAGTTTCAGATACCTATGTGAAATTATATCAAGTGCACACACATATTTTTAATGTTACCAAAAGGCATACATACACAAAAAATATGTGCTTGTATCAGTTCAACAATACACATTTTCTTTTAACCATTAAGCTAAAATAATCCAATTCGTTATCCCAAATGTTCGTGGCACAATATAACATGCTATCAAAAAGCCAGACACATTAAAACAAGAACAATGTCCAGACTTGTAGAACCTGTCACAGGCTGCATTGGCCTAGGTATTCAAAATGTTAAAAGATTAAGTTTAAGAAGAAAAAGATTAATTACATTATCATAGAATTGCCTGACTGCAGGTAAAAATATATATTTATTATGCACCTGGTGATTTTGTTCTCCTTTTCATAAGTCTCTCTCTCTTCTGGTGACATGTCCATTAATTTCAGCTCCAGAGACCCACTGAATGGGATGACACTGGCACCAGGGTCATTGGCATCTACCCATTCCTTTATTTTCACCAGCCTAGAAAAAGAGGAGGTATTGTGGATGTCATGTGAACAAAAAAATTTCATAAATTCATGCTAAACTATGATAGTTATCTGTTAACAAGATGAAACATGATAAGTCCTTGGTAAAATTGAAATAGATAGATTGTTTTAAAAAATAAATAAATAAATAAATAAATAAATAAATAAATAAATAAATAAATAAATAAATAAGCAAACAAACAAACAAGCAAACAAACAAACAAAATAATTACATACTACAAAATATAACAAATATTACCTTTTAAAATATTCTATATAATGGATGCACTTCTCCAAAATAAATTTTGTCTCTGTATCAATGTTAAAAACTTTCTTACTTTATCATAATCAAAGGCATGAGCATTTTCCAAAACTAAGAATAAAAAGATATACTCACATAAAATTTCACTTACACCAGATTAGTGTGTTCACTTACCACTTGTTCTTTTTTCTGATAAAATCTTTTTCTGAGAGATTAATTAGATAAATCATTGGCTTCAGGGTTAAGAAGAAGTGCTGGTTTATATATTCAATCTGTAAAAAAAAATAAATGAAATAAAATAAAAATATTTTAAAAAAAGTTGACGTAGAATCTAGAAGTCACACAAAATAATGTAAATTGCTTAGTTTTATATTTTCCTTTACAAAATAGAAAAGTTATTTATACTAAATGCAAGTAAGATAGAAGTCAAAATTTTTGAAAACGTAATGCAATTTAATGTCAACTGCCAGTGGTGCCAGAAAAGTTTGTTTTGGGTTGAGTTGGAGGGGGTGGTTGGGAGTGGTTGGGTGGGTGGGGGTGTAGTGGGTTTGTGTTCCTGAATTCTTACACCCCATTTCCATAGATTTTTAGATCGATCTATCCCTGTGGGGAGTCTCACTAGATTACTGTCAGCTTGGCCGGCTTAAGCATCTGTCCCGCCTACTAAAAGCTGTAAGTGGGTAATTAACTATGGTGCCCGCTCAGCTGACTGCAATTTAGCGTGAACCCCCAGGGAGTTAGGTCGATCTAAAACTTAATCTTCAGATCGATCTAAATCTCTGGGAAAGCACCCTTAGAGGAGCCAAGTTGTTTTATCGAAATGTGCTTCTCCTAAACGAACTAAAAATCAATCACCCTTACCTCTTTTGCATCATACACAGCAGCTTTTCTCAAATGCTTCTTTTCTTCTACAAGAAGTCTTTTTAACTTGCAAAAGAAATCCTAGAATCATAATAATGAGTTGTTGTTCGATATGTGTAATCCAACGAATGTGATAACAAAAGTTTTCATTTATAATGGCTGCTAAATAATGATTTAATCGAGATATACCAAAGACTTTATATGTCATTGTTTATGTAAGTACAATGGCACACCTATCCAAAGTTTTAGTACAACTTACATATTCAGGTTTCTTCTTCTTGTCATTTCCTCGAACTGCCAATTTTTCTAAAGATTCAAGCTGTTTCAAAATATAGTCTTCATCTTTGAGTCGCAATTCCTCCATGATGATGTCAAGGTCACGTACAGGGTCCACATCACCTTCCACATGGGTAACATCTTCATCTTCAAACACTCCTGAAAAAAAAGAGAAGTTTTTGACAAATCTCACAAACTATTTTTGACAATTTCATTTAGTAAGCATAGTAATGATGGAAATTACTTATCTTAAATAATAGTACAATTTGCACAGTATGTCCAATATATTTCCTCATAACACTCTAGCTCTGCTGTATATTCATTAATGATAATGTCTATTACAAAACACTCTGCACTAGGCATGTTTAAAATAAATAATGCATCAAAAAGGGACTTTTTGGACTCTGTTAATGAAACAATAATGGGATTACAAAAATGAATCATGCAAGGTGTGTCATTTGACAGCAAATTATGTAGGTACATAGTAGAACAGAACAGACAACTCACTGGCCATGTAGAACAGCGCATCGCAAGCACGGATGTGTGAAAGGAAGGCATTTCCAAGACCCTGACCTTCACTTGCACCCTTCACAAGACCAGCAATATCCACAACATTCAGAAATGCTGGGACCTTACTGAAAATAATTAATCAAACATCAGTGAAATATCTGACAACCTGAAAAAACAATACTTTTTAAAGTATTTTTTATCTCAAACAAAGAAGGAATTTGCTTTACTTGCTGTGATAAACTTACCTTGCTGGTTTAAAGAAATTGCACAAGAAATCATATCTTTCATCTGGTACAGGAACCCGACCTAAAATATTTTGCATGAATAAACATTTAACATTGCTTGGTGTCCAGAATCATCTCTTCATAAGACCAAATAAAGTTATTATGAAAACTACAGATGAAAAAAAAATCATCACCTTCCTCTACAATGAAAAAATATCACATACCAAAATGAATTTTGTCTCTATATATATGTACTTTTACAAAATGCAAAATTAACAAAACAAATGACTGGATAATAGTTAATATCTTAATCCACAGACACCTAACTGACTGTTAGATGGAATTTCTGTAAATGGTCTGTTCATATTCACTTACTTTCATTTGGGTCAATGGTGCAGAATGGAAAATTTTCAGCTGATGCCTGGCTTTTGGTTAAGACATTGAAAAACGTTGATTTTCTAAAAGTAAAATAGGAGATTTATCTCATTTTCTGTGACTTAGGTAAACACCAATACATACTGACTTATTATTTCATGTCAGCATATTAACATAATGTACAAATACACTTACATCTAACAGCACCTGTAACATATGAATATATTAGAAAAGTTTTTCAGTCTTTACTAAATAAGATCAACGTGCTATATATAACCCTCAGTCTTTTATGTCAAACATCATTTGAATAATTATGCTACTCTGTGTGCAGCAGTAATGCATCACACATTATTATGTCAAATTAACAGTTTTTACAAACTGAAGGCACAGTTAAAAAGGTCAAGTTTACTATCAGAAATATGAAGAAAGTGCAGTTTAATTTTTTTCTGACTGATTGAGTGATTAATTTGGTTTATCCTTTGGCATGTGAGCTTTATTTGAGTTGTGTTAGAAACTGGTGACCAGTAGTGATTTAAATGCCTTACAGGGAATCTATGTTTACTTCATATGTAACTTTAGGTGAATGGATATTTAATGTCAATTTGAAGAATAGTATTGTCCAGACATATCAGGTTTTAACTGGTGGCAAATACCCTTCTAAAGATTTTTAAATCTGTCTATTGCTCTTAAATTTTTTATATATTTCTAATAAGATCGAGTTTTTAGTAGTGTTAATTTTAAATGGTTCCGATGAGTGTTTTAGATCTAAATATAGTAGTAATTTTAATGATTGTAGTTATATTATCCATTGTAAGGCGCCTTGAGGTCGTATGTGACATATCATATAAGAAAGTTCAAACTTATTATTATTATTGTATTAGTATTACCCATTAGTCCTCAGCACATTGCAAAAAGTGAAATTGCTAGGTGAAGGAGAAAAAAATTCTTACCCAACATTAGGCAATCCTACAATGCCACATTTCAAGTTGGTTCCCACTCTGCCAATGAGGACTGGGGGCTTCTCCTCTGCCTCTCCCTTCTTCTTCGGAGGCATACTAAATACAAATGTTTACTACAAGATTTAATTATATCAATAATCGGAAAGTTGACTCTGACAGCATGAGTGTTCACAACGAGAGAGAGAGAGAGAGAGAGAGAGAGAGAGAGAGAGAGAGGCAAAATTAGTCAATACTCATCTATCGTTTTTAACAACTGTCAAAAAACTACTACCTGTCTAAGTTGATATAGGAGAACTATTTCAATCTTCTTTCATCACCCGGTGACGGCGTATGTTTCACAAAACGGANACATTACCGTATGCTACTCTGTGTGCAGCAGTAATGCATCATGAATTATTATGTCAAATTTACAGCTTTTACGAACTGAAGGCACAGTTAAGAAGGTCTAGTTTACTATCAGAAATATGAAGAAAGTGCACATTAATTTTTTTCTGACTGATTGCGTGATTAATTTATCCTTTGACATGTGAGTTTATTTGAGTTGTGTTAGAAACTGGTGGTAGTGATTTAAATGCCTTACAGGGAATCTATGTTTACTTCATATGTAACTTTAGGTGAATGGATAAATTAATGTCAATTTGAAGAATAGTATTGTCCAGACATATCAGGTTTTAACTGGTGGCAAAGGGTGTGACTGAAATGCGCAATACACTGCAATACAGCGCAACACAGCGCAATACACTTGATAACACAAGTCCAGTTGCAAGTAAACACAGGAAAGGGTAATCTCAAATAATAAAGGGTGATATAAAAGCAAAATATATAGTACATAGTAATTAATATTGCTGATACAACTTGACATTTTTTTCATTGTTTGGTCAGCCGCCATGTTGGTGAGTAGCTCTTCTTGGCCAGTAAAATATCCAAGAAGAGCCACTCACCAACATGGCTGCCAACCGGACAATATAAAAGTCTTGCTGATTTGTTAAGTTATATCAACGATATTATTTTACCTAGTAATATAGGTTGTTTTTATATCACCCTGCTTTGCTGGGAATGGTCATTTCTTTTGTGGAATTGCAACTGGATTTGATTTTTGAAGTGTATTGCACTGTGTTGCGCTGTATTGCGCATTTCAGTGACACCGGGTGGACCGGCAAATACCCTTCTAAAGACCCACATTTTTAAATCTGTCTATTGCTCTTAAATTTTTTATATATTTCTAATAAGATTGAGTTTTTAGTAGTGTTAATTTTAAATGGTTCGATGAGTGTTTTAGATCCAAATATTGTAGTAATTTTAATGATTGTAGTTATATTATCCATTGTAAGGCGCCTTGAGGTAGTATGTGAGGTACCATATAAGAAAGTTCAAACTTATTATTATTATATTAGTGTTACCCATTAGTCCTCAGCACATTGCAAAAAGTGAAAATGCTAGGTGAAGGAGAAATAAGAAAGATAATTTCTTACCCAACATTAGGCAATCCTACAATACCACATTTCAAGTTGGTTCCCACCCTGCCAATGAGGACTGGGGGCTTCTCCTCTGCCTCTCCCTTCTTCTTCGGAGGCATACTAAATACAAATGTTTATTACAAGATTAAATTATATCAATAATCGGAAAGTTGACTCTGATAGCATGAGTGATCACAACGAGAGAGAGAGAGAGAGAGAGAGAGAGAGAGAGAGAGAGAGGCAAAATTAGTCAATACTCATCTATCGTTTTTAACAACTGTCAAAAAACTACTACCTGTCTAAGTTGATATAGGGGAACTATTTCAATCTTCTTTCATCACCCGGTGACGGCGTATGTTTCACAAAACGTGGAAATCGTGTGGCCTCGTTTTCAATATTTACAAGATAGTCTTTATGTTTCCTGTCAACTGTGCTGCATTTCTATGAAGAATCGATTCAAAATACATAGCAACTTTCATACCAATATTTTAATCAATTATATTTTATAAAACTGGATAAAAGGTAGGCACTGTCAACAGTAGTTGAATTTTCAGGCGTTATCCCACAGATGGCAGCACTATCACATTCAGAGGCTTATGTTTCTAATGGTGATCCTTATTTAGCCAAGACTAATCAATAGTTAACATGTACTGGAGATATGTAAACTACGATCTGAAAAAGGAATGGCAACTGGGGAGGGCCACACCCACTGTTATTGATAAGGCATCCTTACACTCCGAATGATTGAAGTATATTTTAATAAATAAAATTACTTTTATGAAAAGCAACATAGTAGTTTTTATGCCAAAATGTTTACTTTTTTATCTTATAATATCCAACAGTTTGAACACGAGATTTCACTCCAAAATGGATCTTCCAGGCAAATAAGCAATTTTCTCACACTCAAATCATTTATCTATCCCTCTCCACTGTTGGATTCAACCTTAGATAAAATTTATATACGATTTTAGCTTAAAATGAGTAGCTAGTCATTATAACAAAAACAATTTTACTGTAAGCTCCAATGGAAATGTCAACATCAGGTACGCTCCAGAAACAAAATATTTAAGGGGTAAAATCATTTTTAAGGGGTATGTAAGGTTTTATAAAATGGATGGAAAAAATAAGCATTTGGAGGAAATGCAAACCCATGGAGTGTACCTTCAATATGGATCATAAAAGTAAAAACACCAAATTCATTCATCTTACTGGAATTCAGCTCAGTTTTATCCTTAGATATAAACAGAACAACAATTCTGTAATTCTGCACAAATAAAATTATATTTAAAAAGGATTTTTACACACCTATAATTAGCATAACTCTTTGAAACTCTAGGTACTGACTGTACCCAACCAACATTTTACATCAAATGTGAGTAGATACAGTAGGCAGGTAACACAGTTTGTGTGTAAAACTGGGTTCTAGAATTGAACAGCAATATCCAAATTCCAGAGAAAAAATGTCATCTATTGTTGGGTATGTCATCATATATATAAAATGCAACAGATATGTAATGTATTATCCATTTTATGATCTTATTTACATTTTAATATTTTATTCATAATCCCAGAAAGTCAATGGCAGAAAACTGATAAATCAAATGCTTTCAATTAAATGTCATATTTAATAGTATTTTCCTGCAAGTTGAGAATTCATTTGTTTGAATTGAATAATAAGCATTCTACAATACAGTACTCCAAGAAGCATACATTTCATGAAAACTGACTCAGTTATATATTTGTCTGCCAGTAATTTATAACAAAAAAGTCAACATTGTCAAGTGTTTGTTGGAAGAAGAAAAAAAACTTAATATCCAATTTCTTCACATTCCCATCACATTAACATAATCACACAATCAGCAGAGAAATCTTGAGCAGAATGTCCCAAAACTAACTGAGCCTACATACCCATAGTACAAAATGTACAAGAAGGCAAATGTGGCATATATCTTTACAAACAAAGCTGTTATTCATAGCACCATGACATTTTATGCACATACACATAATTTGCAAAAATTTAAAAAAAATCACTGAAGGGTTTGGATCAGTTCAACCAATTCTACAGCCAGTTCATATTCAGAATGCCCTTCTGGAAGCTGATTTATAATGTGACCAATCAAAGAAGCTGTATCATGCAGAGGTATGTCAACCTGCCGTAGAGTACTCGAATCCTGCAAGAAACAAAATTCACATAGTGAAAGAATTAAGCAACCAAAGTCAGTTAGTCTAAAAATCAGCTTCAATAGCAGAAAAAGTAGTATAAATGATACAAAACTCATATCACAGTTATGGCAAAAATGCTGACCAGTGTTGACAAAATACACTTTAATCTAATCTATACTAATAATACCAAGTAAACAAACAGTTTATTTACATATGTCTTGGATTCTATCAAGCTTAACATAACCTGTCTCTAACCTGTGTTTTTAACCAAGTGGATAATCTTGGTGAAAGTTTTGAAAGTCTCTCAGCACTGGTCTCAGGCTCTCCACCCAATACAAAGTGAGCCAAGCGCTGCCCTGCCACAAGTAACAGCTGACTACCCATGATCTCGTGGTCTGTCACTGTCAATAAGGCCTAGTGAGGAGAATAAAAGAATTTTGCTATTGTTACCATTATCATTGCTAGGTGGTTATTTCAAAACACACACAGGGAATACAAGAATGATAAAAACTTAAGATGCCTACTATTTTAAAACTAGCAGCAGTTACCTCAGACTGAGAGTTTTGCTTCCTGTAATTGCATTCTATCAGTAAGTCTATTTCCAATAGGTGCAATAGTCATCAAAAACAAGAAAGTGTTACACATAAAATTGTCATCTCTGATTTACACAATACTAATGGATTTAAAAGATAATAAAGAGTGTGAAAGCAAAGTTCATTTGGACATCCAAATAGATTTCTAAAATCACCTCTTCTGCCAGCTTGTCATACCCACTGGAGTACAGTTCACAAGTGTACTGTCTCCTCAGGACATCAGCATCAATACAGAAGTCATCTGATATTGCACACAGCCGCAAGCACCATGTTTTGGCACAGGAACACCTCTCAGTGTCTGCAGGATCTGTGATCATCTGGATTGCCTGGCTGATCACACGCACGGCAAACTGACATAAAAAAAATGGATGAAATCTATTAAACACACGACTAACACAACTTGATGAACAGAAAATTATTTGTACATCAATTTTGATGAACTATTAAAAACAATGCAAAAAGATGTGTGCACCTGAAGATAAAAGTATTTTATCCATTTGAAACAATGCTCCCCTGACTCCTCTACTTCCTTGAAAACAGATTCAGACTCGGGACTGATAATGATGATGACAAAGATGCAGTCCATTGAAGGGACAGAAACAGTTTATTTTGGCCAAAAAATGGATTTTCCTGGGGTAAATGATGATTTTCCCATACTTATCAGTGGTTAATGAATCCATTCCAACATTCAAAGTTAGTCAGTGTTCTTTTTCGAAAAAGTGTTTTGTAATAATCTTTTTAGGAGGTATAGCCATCTATGAAGGTCCACATGGTCTGATGGCAAGCACAGATTCCAAAATAATTGTGATAACCCCTGTTTTGCCAGTAAAATGGATTTTATTATATTTCATTGAGTTGTTAACTATGTTTTTATTGTGAATTATGAATCTCGTAAGGACAGTTGTTATCCCTTTAAGCACAATATTTAAAGCTATACTAACCTGTTCTCTGTTTCTCAATATTACCATGTCAACAGCATCCATTTTGATGTAGGGGTGAGAGGTCAAATCACAGAAGAATGCATTCTGTCCCTGTGGTATATAAAAAATACAGATTACACATGCAACCCAAGCTCTAAAAAGAAAGCACAAGCAAAGAAGCACAAGTGTTTAATAACATATTCTATTACTTGAATGTCGATCACAAAAATGCAACGGCAGTGGAAAAAAAAGTACAAAATCCAGATAATAAATCACTGGCAGCCAGTCAGATGTGTTATTTAAAATACCTTTGTATCAAACAAGGACAGAGGCTTCACAGACTTCATACTGAAAGTCATCACAGCCTGCATAACAATACAGAGATGTAGGTGGTGCTTTAGTAGCAGGTAGTTTGTGTTGCGCTGGTCAATAGCAAGCTCGGCCAGAGAGCTGCTACTTCTTCCCACTCCCTGCCACAAGTCCTCCAAATTTAATATTGGCATTTCGCCATAGTCACAGTTTGCCTGAATTGAAGAAAAAATAAGTCTTAAAGATTTAGTATCAGTTAACCATTAACCTGGCACCACAATCAATGTAAGCAGTGATGGCCTGAAATAGAGACAGCAGGTCTCATATTTTAAATAATTAGTTATTTCACTATAATCACATTCTGAGACAAGGAAGCAACAGATCTATCAGGATTTTAGCAAGCACACAGATATGATAACAGACAAAAGATATTTTAATTCCTATATAGGAAAAGCATAGACCCGCAAGTTGTGTGTTTTTGTCTTAACATATTTTATTAAGTTGACCATCAAATAATCATTAATTTGGGTCATTTTTCTCTTAATTTATTAATCAATAAATACATTCTTATAAATCCAAATCCAGTGTCTTACCTGCATCATAATTTCTATGAAGTCACAGATGTTTGCCAGAAATCCTGTAAGTGCCAAATCACTTATTCCAACCTCCTAAATAAAAGATAAAGAGAAAAAAAACTGATGTATGCTTGGTAGACAATGAATCAAAAACCCAAAAAATGATTAATTACTTAAATCACATAATTGTGTTAATTTGAAATTTGAACAATTCACAAATTAATACATTTGCTTGAATAGTATTTAAAATGTAGAAACTACAAACTTACTTTTCTACATAATCTCTCCTTTGGGACTTTTCCAACCTAATAAAAATAAATAAATAAATAAACACACACACACAAACACACATTACATATACCTATAGTGTTGTTATGAAAAGATTCTGCAGACAAAAATTTACCCTTTGTTAAGTTTTGTGATATAACATAATATTCTGCTGTTCAGCAAATGTCATAGATATAATCAACGTAAAAAAATTTATAAGAGAATCTCAGTTTTAAACTATAAATTGTTTCTTATAAATATTCAGCAACATTATTTTTACCTTTTCTATTAGTTTAGCAGCAGCTTGGAGCTTCTTCAAGAAAAACATCTGCCACATCAAACTGCAAATTCCTAGAAATGATTGCCAAGACAATACATGTCATTCCACATTTCTGTCTCTATGAAACAAAAGCCCAACCCTTAATACTACACATCAGAAAAAAATGCTTTTTATCTTGTTGCTTAAAGTATAATGGCCAAATGCACACAAACCCATGGTTTAAACATCAATTTTCTTTCCCAATTGACAAAACAACCTTTAAAATAACTTACCATGCTGCAACACTCCATTTTGAACAAGTTTTAAAAAGTCCAGGGAATGCCTTAATTTGGTCACAACCTTCAAATAGAAGAGTAGCAATTCACAGTCTCTTAAAAGAGCTAATGTGATTTTTTTCAAGCAACAAAACTTATTTCTCTAGAGTGTAATGAAAATCAACAAAATTATCATACTCTGTGGCCAATGAAATGAAATGAATTACTCAGTTCCTGGTAATTATGTGCAAAAACATTTGTACAGTATCTATTACTGAGGGGTGTTATTTGCAATGAGATTTATCTGACTAGCAAAATTCCCACCTCCGGGTCTTTGTTCCACCTTACTCCATACTCCCAGGCACAGTTAGCATACAACACATCCTGCTCCAGGCTGTGGGGAAACCTGATATGTAATGAATGTAAGAGATCTGGAAATGAATGACAGAAGTGAAAATATTACTGACAAATATCGGCTACTCGCAAAGCACAGGCTAAAAGTATTACAGAAAACTGAGTGCCTGGTTCTTTCATTCTTACTATACTTTCTGGTAATGTTCAAAGTTTTCCACTTCAATGTTCTTTATAAAAAGATGGTTTAAGTTTTAGTTTTGAGCCAAGTATATGTAAATTGAATTAAATTGTAAATTGAATTTTATTTAAAGAAATCTGTGCCCACTTCAAAGCTGTATCATACATGCACTAAATTCCATGCAAAAACTTTTTTCACCTATATTTATAAATTTCTATTTCAGCTATTTAATTCATTGTAAAGATAATTGATACAAAATAGATAAGACAACTTTTTGTCCCCAATTCCAGACACCCATCTTACCCGTCATATCTTTAATATCAGTTTCTAGATGGCTGCTGGTTTCAGGAGACTTGGGGCATGTTATGGAAGAATCACTACCATCACTCGATGTTCTGATGACATATGGTAGGAAAGGTTTGGTTCCTATGTCCCTTGCAGAAGCCCATTTGGCAATGATTTCTGCTATAATTCCTTAAAATTTAGAAACTATGATAGTCAGTCAAAGAGATAAAAGAAAAGTCTTGCAAATTACTCCTCTGACTGTATGAAGATATTTTATACATGTAAATTATGGGATATCTGGTCTCCAATATAAGATTTGTTCTCGAAAATCCTGGCATAAATACACGATTTTACTTATTGGAAGAGGCTCTTTTCTTTTAAATAACAAATGGGTAGTTTCCTTTAAAACATCAACTAATTTTTCAACATAGCCATATTAACTCACCTCTGCCTCCCTCTAGCACCTTGTTCACAGACACCTCTATATCAGCTGACTTGGTCACATGACTTGTGTCGTCTGCTTCCTTCCACCTAAGCAAGCACTCCAGAAGAAGTAGATCTTCCAGCTGCTGGACAAGAATGTTCCATTTCTCATTTTCTAATGTAACTGCCTCCCATTCGGACATGTCAGTGTCTTCAGCTGCAGCTTTTTCATCCTGAGAAATGTTATTTTTGAATCTAACTTAAAGTTGCATATACAGCTTGATTAGTTTACCTAACAAGGGTAAACTTTCTCAAAGATTTTCTTTTCAAATCAATTGCTTGGAAAATTTTCTTACTGTTCTAGTAATATCTAATTTATTGACAAATGTTGTTGATTAAAAGTAAAGCTCTAAAATACACTTAAGATTTCAAATACATCTCAATATTCTAATATCTAAGAAGAACACAAACCTTGTTTTTTCTGTATAAATACATAACACTCAAACTGACACTTCTACAAGTTTGCGCCAACATAAGTGAAGGACCAATATGGCTGGATGAACTGCATGCCGCACGGATCTTCTCCCACCAGGGGGCAGTGCGATTAGTCTCTGCTACCACCTCTTCCAGGTCTGAAAAGAATTGAAATTTAAATAAACTGGCATCATATGCAAAAGGAAAGTCATATTTAATGCTTTTTTCTTTATACAATGAAGTTAAAAATCTTGAAAATTTTGAAAATCTAATATTTATTTATTTATTTTAATCTTTGCCTCTCTCTCTACCTTTTCTCTCTGTGAATGCTTTTACCAAGCCATAGAGCCTCTCCATACAAGCTGTGGGCTGGAAGGTTTCTGACAACCAGTGGTTCCATAATAGTGACTGATGAGAAAAAAGGGGTTACAAGGTAGTATGCTGGGATTTATTCAGACTCTTAAATGACATACTGTTATAAAAAGATAGTTGTTGATCAATGAGTGGCAACTACAGATGTTTGCTCAGTTTGTCATTACACAAATTAGAAAATTCTAAGAAACATAACCTATTGGTATACTTGATACATAACAGAATATGGACATGTATACTTTAGATTTGATTAAAAAAATCAAATTCTTTAGCTTACCATTACTTGTTCTGGTAAAATTTTGGACATCAATTTAATATCCATAACATCTTCAACTTCACAGTTTCCATTAAGACAGGTCTTAAACAAAAAGGAACCTAAAGAAAAAATACAGTACTATTCCTAATGTAATTTCCTGGAAATAGTTAATCTTGCTCACAGATCATATCCAAGTAAAATTTCAAAATCTCAAGCTAATGGATTTTCAATGAAATGTATCTATTACATATTTCATATCTTGAGAACATTGAAAAGTATAAAGAGAGTGTAGACCTCCACCAAGGCAGCTCAATTCTCATTACTATTAATTTATTAATGAATCAATACCAACATACAATAACTGATTTAAGACCTATCATGAAAAATTAATCAAAATCCGTCATTAACTTTTTGATCCAGGCTGTTAAATGACAAACTAGCAAAGGCAAAAACAACCCCCTTGACAGAGGTAATATGTGAAACGCATATTCAACGGGGAATGCAATTACATTATCGTTAATTCACTTTCTTTATCTAAAGTGTGATGAAAAATATCATACATACATACCCAACTTTTGTAACATCTCTGAATTCAAATCATGCCTTATATTGAGAGAGTAGGTCATGTCAGCCAGTTGGTCTTCTTTAGTTCTGTGAATGTGGCAAGTGAAGCAATTTAGGAACTGTGTCACTGTCAATTCGGAATCAGCAGCAAATTTCACCTTATGCTCTCTGTTATCTGCCACAAGCTGCTTGTGTTTGTTAAGTAGGTCCAGCACTTCTTCTACCTCTGACTGAGTTAGGGAAAGCAAGGCCTGGAGCGACTAGAATGAAGGCAGGAAAATAAATAAGTGAATCAAAAGAGGATACAAGACAAAAAATGTTTATACTGAGAGAATAATGTAGGGAAGATCTCAGAGAAAAAATAAGACACTGTTCCTGATGTCCGAATTAGCAGACATACTTTTCGTTGCTTATACATCAGTTCCTTTCATAACACTATTGAATTAAAACTTTATATTACCTTTACTTCAATATTTATCTTCAAGTATCACATGTGTAAATTAAGCTATTTATTATTAACGTAGAATGTTGGGTCTATTCCTTTTAAGTATTTTCCCAAAAAAATTCAGCAACTGTTCAAACCATTTTACATACATTGTTAACAATTAGTAAGCAATTTTTTCACCTGTTGGGAATCCCTTTCTTTCTCAGTGCTTTCCTTTTCTGTCACTGTCTCCTCTTGTTTGCCAGCATTCAAACTATCCAGCATGCTATATGCATTCAGCAGTTCACTATATCCTTTACAAAACTGAAGCAGCATCTTACTGTCAACATCTATTGTAACTGCATCTGAAAAAACAAGGAAAATTCATATAGCAATTAATAATATTTACTTATACATCTTTCAATAACAACCACTGGACTAAGGCTATGACAAAATTAAATTTTAAAACTTGTATTCTAATAGTATTGCATAAAAACCCTGCATCTCAATGAACTTTTTGTGAGCATATACTTTCCACAGATTCATATTATCAGTAACTGATGGTCTGTAGTGTTCCACATGCCTTGTTGTTCTATCTGCTCTACAATGGCTGAGACCACACTGACCAAAACTTTCAATGGAATGTGTCTGGTGGTCAGAATCTTCTCCAAGCCCTGGGGACGGACATAACATGAGGTTTTGAGAATTAACAAATTTGTTCATCACTAAAGTTGTTTAGTATCCTTGTAATTCATCAACCACATTTTACTGTTTAAAATCAACACTGATCTGCACAAGGAAGATGTACTGAAAAAAGTTATTATATGTGCTTTATGTATGTATGACAGACATGCTATCTTATCACATATTTCAACAGAAAATGTGTAAGTTTTAAAGAAAAGAAAAGAGAAGAAAAGTAATCAGTTAATCAATTATTACCTGTTGCCTTATGCTGGCTATCTTTATGTCATAAAGGAGACTTATAAGCTCTGTTTCTGTGGCTGAAATGTAATGATAATAATCAAGGTTAACTTCACCTACGCATAATAAAGGCAATGCCATAGGAACCATATTATATAACAGAATATGAAATAAAGCAGTAACAGCAACACAAATGTCTTTTTTTAAATTATTTACATTGATAATTATGTGGCAAGGTTTTCTATATGTATCAGCTGGAAGATATTTAATAATGAAATGCATTCAATTATGAATGTTATGTCTTCAGTGCTGATGTGACTGTGAGTAATGTCTCTAACTTTCACACCTGTGCCATTCTGAACTTGTCTCAGTGCAGCCTTCAACTTTTTTAGCAAATGGACATCTCTTGCCCTTTTGCTATTTTTGTCACTAAAAGAAAAAAAAACAAACATTAAAAATAGAACATATTTCAGTGAATTTCTCATCGTCAATGTCAAAGGCCATATGTTAAAAAAGCTTCCATGACACTGTAGGCTTTAAATCTTACTACATGGAAAAAATGTTAATGTACAAAGCAAAGAAAGCAGAAGGTATATATACATTATATACATATGCATGTTTGACACACTGACACAAAGTTATTACTTCCATGAACCAAATCTCTGCATATTTGCCACCAGATAACTTGATGACTAAACTAGCACACTCACAGATCTTGAATAATGCATGCATGTCTACACACAGATGCATTATCAGCAGTGTAACCCTTACACACAATATAGCTTACCTCAATGCAAGGTGGAATGGGACATCAACTGTGCTTAAGTTTCCATGTGGATCAAGCAGGTAGCACATAAAATGGTTCTGTTTGACACCCCTGATAGTAACATTGTTCAACCCAAGCATGCCATGTGACTGGTATAAAAGCTGACACCATTTGCTGACACTAAATGCAGCCACTCTAGGGCCTTGTTCTGCTGTCCATACCTAGAAACAATCATGCGTTTATCTGACAAAATGTTTTCATGGATTTAAGGTAACTTTTCTGGGAACTCAAGATAAAACTGTACTCCTTATTTTCCACTGATTTTAAAACCATAAGGAAATCTTTCAAAAGGCGGGAAACTCCCATGGCATTCCTAACCTTGTAATAAGGTGTATTTTGTGTCTACAACTGTACACTTTATGTACTAAAACAATTGTAGACAAACTGTAGACCAGATACTTTCATTTCACGATGTTTTTCTTTGATCAGGCAAACAACAAAAGAAGGCAAATCTCCCCCCCCCCACCCCAATTAAGATTGTCTGTGTAATTCACAAGAAGTTGCTTCACACTCTTCTGTATATATACTGCATCTCCATCTGTTCTCCTTCATAAAAACACCATTTACCTCCAAGAGGCCCCTCCTGGGTGCATATATCACCAGGAATAATGCCAGTCTGGAGCTCTGCTCATGTGGATCCTCTTTCACCTGGACCCAGCCTACCTGAGCATCACGATAACCTGAAATATGACAGACATT